GCCTGCATCTCCACTTCGAGAAGGTCTCGCTGGCTGAGGATGATGACAGGTTTGACCCTGGGGCAGGGAGGGACTGGAGGCGGTGACGACACACCCTGGGTCATCCCCACACCGGGCACAGGGCCACGTTCAAGGATGGGTGCCATTGGCCATATCCAAGGATGGCGGCCATTGACCATGCTCGTGGATGTGTGCCACTGGCCATATCCAAAGATGGGTGCTGTTGGCCATGCCCACAGATGGGTGCCATTGGTCATATTCAAGGATGGGTGTTGTTGGCCTTGTTCACGGATGAGTGTCATTGGCCATGCCCTTGTGTGGGCACTGTTGGCCATTGGCCGTGGTCAAGGATAGGTGCTGTTCGCCATGTTCAAGGAAGGCACCACTGGCCATGCCCAAGGGTGGATGCCATTCATCATGTTCAAGGATGGGTGCTGTTGGCCATGGCCAGCACAGCACCCTGCCTCTGCCATGCCTCGGCAGGCTCATCATCCGCAATGGCAACAACGTGGAGTCGCCGCCAGTGTACGACTCCTACGAGGTGGAGTACCTGCCCATCGAGGGGCTGCTCAGCACCGGGCGCCACTTCTTCGTGGAGCTCACCACCGACAGCAGCGGGGCCGCTGCGGGCATGGCGCTGCGCTATGAGGGTACAGGGCTGGGGCTGGGGGGGGAAGCTGGGCATCTCTGCACCCGCCTGGCCCCCACAGACCTTCGCTCCTGTGCCCGCAGCCTTCGAGCAGGGGCATTGCTACGAGCCCTTTGTCAAGTACGGGAATTTCACGGCCAGCGACCCCCGGTACCCTGTGGGCACCACGGTGGAGTTCACCTGCAACCCCGGCTACACGCTGGAGCAGGGCTCCACCATCATCGAATGTGTTGACCCCAGCGACCCGCAGTGGAATGAGACGGAGCCAGCGTGCCGCGGTGGGCACCGGAGATGGGAGGTTGGGGGGGCTGGAGCTGAGGGTACGGGAATTTCACGGCCAGCGACCCCCGGTACCCTGTGGGCACCACGGTGGAGTTCACCTGCAACCCCGGCTACACGCTGGAGCAGGGCTCCACCATCATCGAATGTGTTGACCCCAGCGACCCGCAGTGGAATGAGACGGAGCCAGCGTGCCGCGGTGGGCACCGGAGATGGGAGGTTGGGGGGGCTGGAGCTGAGGGTTCAGTGGGTGCTGGAGCTAGGGGACACGGTGGGAGCCGGAGCCAGTGGGGATGGCGGGGGCTGGGGCTGGGGAGCCGAAGTGGGGGG